ATTATGAGTTATTTGTGAAGCAATCTCTCAATATGGAAAGAAATGGCTATTGTCATGGCAAGGGTATGGATATTACATTCTCATATGCTTCGTAAATCATCAGCTTATTGCAGTGTTTGATGAAAGCTTTACATATTTTACACAATGCAATTTCAGGAGGCTAGCATGGGCTGGATTATCCATCTCGAAACTGATGAGCTAATTCATCCTGCAGGAGCTAGTGAATATTTCTTGAGACAGTTGCTGTCAGATGTGCCTGGAAATGTTGACATGGTTATCTTTCCGAATTATGTGAGTTGAACTGCTTTTATAAGATTCATATGATATATTACCTCTTGCAAGGTTGATTTGTAGCCTTTGGTGTCGAAAACTTTCTGCTCATCACAACGTGTAACTATTAGTTTCTTTTGTTCTGCTGTTCTTCTTGATATTTGATGACCACATAATCATTTCAGGAGAGCAGTGTTGAGCGAGATGATATCAAGGAACCTTTTAGTGAGGTACTGTTTATTTTTCTCAGAACTTAAGCTAATTGAAATTAACACTTGCCTAATATGTGTTGTGTGTGTGTGGTGGGGCAGGGGAAGGCTCATGTGTGGTGTGTTTTTGGATTTTCATGTCCCGGACACAATTATTCTCACCAATAATAGTTCATATTTATTTGTTTGTGGACATAGGTCTCAATGTTCAAAAAGAATCACAATCATCTTCCCAAAGTTACATACTTTGGCAATTATGAGGAAGCAATCCATGGTAATCCAACATATGGGAATGGGAAATCTGCTGCTCGTATTCGAGACCATCTTCGTCCTAATGGCACACACAGATGGCATAACTATATGAAAACACCCAAGTATGGTCACTCTATCTGATAACTTCACATGCACATGCATATACATTTTATTGCGCTTATGCATCTCCTTTTTTCTTTTTTTTCCTCATGTCACCTCCTCATTGGCGCATCCATTATGTGAATTTTTGATGTATTTCCGTTATCTTTCCTGACTTAACATCATCGAGATGCATAGAGAGCTGTCTCATTCGTTTCTTTATTTGTTGCACGCTCTTAAGAGCTTCTCTGTAAACTTTGCTAGTGAGGTTAAATTGGAGGAGGCTGCTGTTCTGCATTACACATACCCTAAATTTTCTGATTTGACTTCACGAAGTGATCAGTGTCGATGCAAGCCTACGAAGGAGGATGTTAAAAGATGCTTCATGTTCATGGCTGTAAGTCCTCATGCATGATTTTTTTTTTTTGTTGGTTGTTTTGTTTCTAGATTGAAATTGTCTTTCCTCTTCTTTTGTGGGAACTGATTCTGTTGGTAAAATGTCTTTATCATGTGCAATAGGCATAATCATAGTTTCTGAGTATATATGTTGTTTTCATTTCCCTCGCTGTAAATGCATTTTATCTCTTGGGCTTATATGGATGTGTTAAAACTCAGTAAAACCATTGCATGAGAAGACTTCATAATTTCTGAATTATTTGGCTTACAACTCTATCATTGTTTTATACTGAACAGGCTTTCATAATTGCTTCAACGGTAACAGAGGAGGAAATGCTTCACTGGTACTAACTATACTCCCATTTTCCTATATTTTGTTTTAGAATTTTGATATGAATCCATTGACCCTTCTTGAAGTTACATATGTGAAATAAAATACCTAAAAATGTGCTGCAATTATCCTATGCTTTCAAATCTAATGCTATGTGAGTTTCCTTGGCTTTATTTTGATGGGTGATGTCTTTTGCCCTAAAATGCTATAAACCAACATTTTAAACCATCATACTCAATACCTCATTACATTAGGTACCAGGAAACGATCATGTGGACTGATGAAGCACTGAAACTGAAACTCTTGAGAAAGGGCATCTTGACTCGCATCTACACTCCCATGGTGAGTTTCACTGCCTGAATTTTCCATCCAAAGTCTCTTGTTTCTAGTTCATCTTTGAGCTGCATAGGAGTTTAGTTGGTGTGGATCTGTGTACCATTTGACAATCCTGACGCCTTTCTTAATTTTCTGTTCACAGGTCATTGTCCATGGACTTAGGGAATCTGGTGTTTTCAGCTCTGTGATAGCAGCGTCACAGAAGTTCATATCATCAGTTAAGAATAGCAACTCTTCCATGACAGCTGGAGTTGTTTCTTCAAGAAAGATTGGTCATGGTGGAGAATCTTAGGCAACTGCAAGGAGGGGCTTGCAAATTTCTGACGAGGCTTCTATATTTTCAGCAATTCCACCAGCCTCCTCCTGACCTGGAAGATATTCACATAGAGATGTGATTACATTACATCCGCAGTAGCCCTTGACCCCCTTGTCTTATCTCGTGTTGTTTGATTGGAGAGGGACGTCAAAGTTCTTGAAAATGTTGATGAACTGGAACTCGAGGGAGCAAGAAAAGCAGCTATGACTGTTGAGATGGGGCACTTCGTTGTGCAGTTTCATGGGGCCCTTCCCGATCATTACCCAAGCGTTGGTGTACATTTTGGTTTAGATATTAGGTTCTATAGAGTTGAGGTGTCGAGCGAGATTCTGATCACTTACATATTCATGATTTGTCTTCTGGTAGTATTTCTGGTTGCCGTGGCTGATTGTCTGCAGTTGTGATCTGAAGCCCTGCCAGACCAGTTGTTGGCTTACACACGTTGCAGGGGACGAATACTACAGCATGCATTCCCCATTCATGATACGGAAGGTGGTTATTCATTGGAATTGGCTTCTTGCCGTTCATTTCCTCAATCTTACTCTCTCTGCTTAAGCAGCTCTATTCATTTATTCTTGTGAAAATGTGTGGAATTTTATCAACTCGTATTAGATTTTGGAGACCTATGTGTCAATGATAGGAAGAATTTCGTCTTTAACAACCACTTGTAAATTATTGGACCAACAAATTGAACCAAAAAAAAAACACCACCACAACTTGAACTAAAGAAACCATTAAAATGTTGGCTCGTATTTTTTTTCCCCTGAAGAGGCGACGTATTTGCATTTGATTAACTTTGAAGTATTTACATTTGCAAACAACTTGTATTTTATACCATCTGAGTTTTTTTTTCAAACCCCAACACAATTCTCAAGGGTACTGTCATTCCCCGCTACGAGTCTAGTACTCCGGAAACTACAATTGCCGAAGCTCAAACCTTGTTCCAGGCATATAATCTATGGAAAGCATAATCGCTAAATGAAGCATGTGATTTGTATCTGTTGCTCCCTTGTGTTTAATGATGACTTCAAATTTTTAGGAAATTTGGAGTCCCTGCCATGCGTCGTAAAGGGGACCTTGTATCTGCTTTCATGCAGATCATGGCCAAGCAGATAGATGGTGATCAGTACTATTAAAATAAGTATTTATGTATTCTGGCAGTAATTTTGGGAGCTCAATTTGACAGATGTTATTTGTTAGTGTGAAAGAGGACTTTCTCTAACCATTGAAAAGGGGATCTTCCTCATTTTCAAAATTCTGATAGTTAGCTGTTTCCCACAAGTGCAGGTGAAAGCTCTCAGGAAGAAGGATGTGTTTCCTTTAATTCACTTGGAAATATTTCCCTGCAAAAGAACAGTAAATGTAAATCTGATGAAAGTTATGTTGTAAGCATTAACACTGTTTCAGAGGTTTTTGGGTTTAAACAGAGTAAGAAAAGGATGAAACAGTCACACCGTTGAGGATGAAATTGTTAAAGTTGATGCTGGAATGGTCACTTCAAAGGAGAAGCTTTCAATTAAAACTGATGCTAGTTACTTTACCTCAAGCTGAACCCTGGACAGTTCTTGCACACAAGAAGCCACAGAAAGGGTGGACTCCATATAACCCCAGAACTACGAGGCCTCCACCTCTCGCTGATTGAAGCTAATGTCTTGGAATGTCAATGGGTTAAGGGCATTATTGAAGTTAGAGGGATTCTCTGCTCTTGAGCTTGCCTAAAAGGAAGACATCGATGTGTTGTGCTTGCAAGAAACCGAACTACGCGCAAGTATCAGTTACATATTTGGTCGCATGAGGTTTAATTTAGAGCTTCTTCACTACATTTTTTTCATTTATGGAGCAAGGTTCTAGCATTCATACCGAACCTTGGGTTGATTTGGTGAAATTGACAATTTCTTGATTGGTTCCTCTGATTTTGAAAGCAGGAGAAGGGTGTTGATTCCATCAAACAATCCCTGATTGATGGTTATGAGAATAGCTTCTCGACATGTGGCAACGCCAAACTTGATTATTCTGGCACTGCAATTGTCTCTCGAGTATGCTTATCCTTTTCTGGTTCTGTCTAGAAGATGACTCTCTCTCTGATTCATATCATAAAATTACATCACATTATGGAATAACACCACAGATGAACATAGAAGCTTACTATAATCCAAAATCGTTTCCAAATACTCAACAGGCTAGCATGACATAATTACAATCTACTGATCTAGAGAATAGAATTTTAGGTTAGCCACTTCAGAATACCAAATAGTTCTGCCTTTATGGTAAAAGAGTTTGTTGTGATCTGTTTTTTGACCTGCAGAGCTTGTGGACTCTACAAGTATTTTGATCCCGATTTTTGAATTGCCAACTTGCCTTTTGCTTTTATAATAGATTTTCCTGTCATTACTTATCCAGTAGAGATCAATGTTTGTGTGACAGACAAAGCTCCTTTCAGTCCATTATGGCCTAGGCATCCCAGACCATGACAGCAGGGGACGTGTTGTGACACTGACAGCAGAGTTTGTTTCATTTTATTTAGTAAATGCATACGTTCCTAACTCTAGATGGCTTGAAGAGACTGGTAATTGGCCGTGGATCCATGTCATCACTATATTATATTTTATTCCACTCACTTTATCATCATGAGCTCTTTGTTCTGAGGTGGATTTATTCATGGACTGACAGCTCTAATTTAATTCTAATTGTACAGGATTGCACAATGGGATCCATCTCTTAGCAACTAATGAAAGTAAGCATGGTTTTTTAAGTGAATGCTTACACCAGATCTGTTTGTTTTCTACCGCAGAGGGAATAGTTGCTATGCTATCTCCATGGTTGATTTAAGGCTTGTGCTGCTTTGCATGCTTGATCCAGGAGCTTGAAAAGTCATAGCCTGTCATTTTGACTGGTGATCTGAATTGTATCTCATCAGGAGATAGAAATTTGCAATCGTGCAGCCAGTCATTTAAATTTCATGGATTTGCACTAGTCTTTGTGAATGTTCCCAAGAGGTCAGTAAATATGTTGGATCCCCAATTTTAGGTTTAGTATCAAGCTTTTTGTTTGAAAGAAGTGCTGCGTGTACAGAAGAAGAAAGAAAATCATTTGGATCAAACTTTTTGTCAAATGGATTTGTGGATGCCTTCAGAAAACAGCATCCCAATGTTGTTGGGTATACCTACTGGGGTTATCGACACGGTGGTCGGAAAACTAACAAAGGTATCTCACCACTTGGGTTCAAAAAATTTCTATCTAAAAATCCTTTCACAGAAGAGCACTTATTATTATTTAAAGTCTTAGAATTTTGAAAAGTGGTTCAACTCTAGAAGATAATAGGAAGCATACTAATATTTGAAGTATCCGTAAAATTACCAAGCCATTGTAAGATAGCCCGGAGAAGGTCAATTCATATCTTCAGATCTTTCTGGCATACATAAACCAGGGCTGTTTACCGTTGTATTTGTTTCCTATTCATTTTGATCTGACACACAGTTGTACTGAAGTTTGAAACAGGATGGCGGCTTGACTACTTTCTTGTGTCGGAATCCATAGCAGACAACGTCCATGACTCCTACATTGTCCCTGATGTTAATGGGGGTGATCACTGTCCTCTTCGCCCTGTACTCGAGCTTTAGTTTTGCAAGAACCATAGTTTGCATGGGAATACACATGGAGGATTAGTTTGTCTTGGCAATTTGTTGAATTGATGGCTTTGGCCTTCTGGTTAATGCCAAGAACATATAATTCTGTCAGCACTGAAATAGGAAATTTATGGCAGATCCAAAGCAGATGGGATCTGAAAGTTTGAACATAATTATCATCAGAGTCCTTATCCATCCTAGCTGGCAGCCAATTCATGGCACCCAGTTAATGCTCGAGCAGCAAATTTCTTTGAGATACACGACGTGGATAATCTACTGGATAAAAAAGAAAAAAAGAGAGGAAAAAAAAGGGTTTGACGTGTAAAAAATAGCCAGAAAATAACCTAATTATTAATTAAGAAAATGGTGAACTTTTTAAATAGTGTTTGTGAACTGTGGCAACTTTTTTTTTTTTTTTCAACTTTTATTCTTGAGGGTGTTGTGTATTTAAAAATGTTTTTTATTGGGAAATATATTAGATTTATATTTTATTATTATTATTTTTTGATAATTTTAATAATATAGATGTTAAAAATTAAAACAAATTTTTAAAATTAATTAGATAAATATTTATATAATTTTAATCAGGTTAATTAGCCTATTAGATGACTCAAGAAATAAAAAACAAATTTTAATTAAATTAGTTGTGGGTCATCTAGCTATGGAGTTAGATAACTTCATAAAAAAAATATAATTTTAATTAAATTAGTTGTGGGTCATCGAGTATAGCTATGGAGTTAGATAGCTTCATAAAAAAAAATAGTTAATTGGAGTTAATCTGTATTTATTTTTATGTTTGAAAAATAATTTTTTAAAAGTAAAAATATATATTATTTTAATATATTTGCAAATAAAAATTTTGTAAAGTAAAGGTTTTCTTACGTGGCAGCCCTTTGGCGGGCCCTGTTGCTCTTTTTCTCCGACATGGCAACATCTGATTAGCTCCAATGACACGGGTGAAGAAAAACCGTAAGCCACCTGAAATGACCTTAACTTCACAGTGGTGGGTCCCGTACTTGAAACGTGGCAACATCTTATTAGTTCAATGACACCAAAGTGAAAACAACAGTGCTGCAACTCTCATATCTTCAACATCTACAAAATTGACAGCAAAAGCAGAGAGAGAGTGAGAGAGAGCAGACCAATGGCAAGAAAGAGAGCTTCGGAACCAACAAAAATAACAACAAAAGAAGCAATTGTTACAAGTGACAAAGAAACCAAACCACTTCCTCCTCCTCCTCCTCCTCCTCGAGGAACAAGCAATGACCAACCAATTGCACCACCAAAAAAAGGATTCATTTTTAAGCTCTCTCTTTTACTTATAGCCCCCTACTTTTACTTACTCTTATTTCACTACCAGATCCAACATGACCTCATCAAACCTATTCTTATCAATGCTGGTCTTAGTCTTGCTGGGTTTTTTCTCACCTTTAAGATGATTCCTGTGGCTTCTAAATATGTTTTGAGAAGGAACTTGTTTGGCTATGATATTAACAAGAAGGGTACTCCTCAAGGGACTGTTAAAGTGTGAGCCCTTATTCTTGGGTTTGTGTTTTTCTTTATGATGTGAGTTTGATTTAGATTTGTTGATAGAGGGTTTGGATTTTGTAAATTTGTGATCTTTATATATATATATATTGAGAAGAGGGGTTTGTCTCAGATTTCAATTTTGGTTGCTAAATTATTTTTTGCCTGTTTTTTATTCATCATCATTGTTTCTTTATTTATTTATTTCACTGGCTGATGAAGTTCTCATGAGTTGAAATTTAATTTTGGTATTGTGATTGTCAAACTGGAGTAGAAGTTAAGAGAATGGATTATTGGTATGTTAGTTCTAAAAGATATGATGCTTAGAAAATGATTGTGTTTCTGTCCTTGCTAATCCGCTTAATCAGATTTTTCCACTTTTATGTTTTTGGCAGGCCTGAATCATTGGGTATTGTTGTCGCTGTAGTCTTCATGGTTTTGACTATAGTATTTCAGTTTTTAAACTTCGCGCCAGATTCCAATGTAAGAATCTTTGACAATCTTCTGTTGCAATTTTTTTACACCATGCTTGTATCTTTACTGCAGTTTCTGTGTTTTCATGTTTCTACCTGTATGTCTTTGTTTACTTCCCCAGTATTTCTTCCATTTGGTGTTTTAATTTGTGAACATGCAGTGGCTTGTTGAGTACAATGCAGCACTAGCATCAATTTGCTTCATGACTCTACTCGGATTCATAGATGATGTCCTTGATGTTCCATGGAGAGTGTGAGTATTTCTTGGTAGCGTTTGTTAAAATGAAGCTTGATTAGATCCTCATGGCTGTTATTGTGTTTACTAAGAGCAGCAAATTATTGCTTCCGTCAATTGCTGCCCTTCCATTGCTGATGGCATACGCCGGACATACTACTATCATTATACCAAAGCCTCTTGTTCCATATATTGGGCTCAAGGTTTTGGACCTGGGTATGTTTTTTAATTCCAATAGTGTGAGATCATTGAATGTCATGATTGTTGCTCTCTCTCTCTCTCTCTCTCTCACACACACACACACACACACTCACACACATGCTACATTGCTAGGATTCATCCTCATCATGAACATCAATCTAATTTTAAAAACATACTCCTAATTTCATAGTAAACTTGAGACTTTTCATCGTAGAACTTGAATTTCATTTTTCAGTTATATGAAAAGAAATAGAAACCATTGTTTGAAAGAAAGTCGATAAAGCCTTACAAGTGGCTGGAGTTATACCAGCATGTGCTTAATGGTTTTTTCATTTTGTTTTTGACAGGATTTATATATAAGATTTACATGTGGTTTTTGGCAATTTTCTGCACAAATTGCATTAACATTCATGCTGGTATAAATGGCCTTGAAGCTGGTCAAACAGTTGTGATCGCATCTGCGGTAAGCATAGAGAGTTGTAGAACAACTGGATTCTGACTCTTTTATGGATCTGACACAGCTTAACAATTTTATAGATTTTGATACATAATGTCATGCAAATTGGAGCGTCTGCGGATCCTGAGTATCAACAGGCTCATGCATTCTCTGTGTATCTTGTCCAACCCTTACTGGCAACCTCTTTGGCTTTGCTTTCTTACAATTGGTATTAACATTTGATTCTATTTATCAAGTGATTTTCTTACTGTTCTTTCTGCGCAGAAAAGTAACATTTACTCTTTTATTTTTTCAGGTATCCTTCTTCAGTATTTGTTGGAGATACTTATACATACTTTGCAGGGATGACGATGGCTGTTGTTGGGATTTTAGGCCATTTTAGGTGTGTCCTGTGCCTGTTCAATGTTCTTTTATTTTATTTCACAATATATGTATGGGTAGTTTTCTAATTCATTCAAGTCATCTCCATGCATGGGTTAAAACCTAGAACACGGCATTTAGAGTTTTGATATGTGAATGATTGACGACCTGTGCAAGCTCTGGATGTTGTGAGATTAGGGTATTCCTTACTAAATATTTTTGAAATATAAGTTCAAACTAGATTTACTTGCCAGTATGTACATTAGAAAATACTTGTTGCTTTTCTTTACCTATTGTAACCATGCACTATTTTTCTCTTTCTCATTACGCAATCTCAACCAAATGATAGCTAATCAATTGTGCTTTTAGGACATACATTGTCACATTTAAAGATACCAGAGATCAGATATACTGGGTTTTTTCTACAGTTACTTTGTATTTATCAATATGCCTATCCATAACCTCATAATTGATTTTTTTTTTCCCTCATTTTTTTGAACAGTGAAACGCTCCTGATTTTCTTTTTAGCACAAGTATTAAACTTCCTCCTGTCAGTTCCTCAGGTTTGATCTCATAACTCTTCTCCCCCAAGCTTTTAAACTCCAATTATCCACTAAGGCATCTAATTTGCGGTTCCTTTTCAGCTTTTTGGCTTCAAGCATTGTCCAAGACATCGTCTACCTAGGTAGATTCTCTACCCTCGTTGCAAGTTTGTACCAAAGGGAATTTCATGGCCCTTCTTTTGTGAATCTTCTATGGATGTCTTAAATTACATGACTTTTTTTTTTTTCAGGTTTGATCCTCAAACAGGACTTCTTACAGGAACAAACGATGGGACACTTGTTAATTTTTACTTGAGAATGTTAGGCAGGAAGACAGAAAATTCACTTTGCGTGCATCTTCTTCTTGTTCAGGTGATTTATTTGTTTGTTAAATTTTATCTTTCTCCTTCTACTTGTGCACTTTGGAGAAGGGGCTTTTTGCCTTGTCGAGGGTTTGGACTTCACTATCCCATGCTTCTCACAATTTTGGGACTAGGGAGCAACACTGTCCCCAAGCAGGAGTTCCAAGCTTCTTGATAATGGCACCTGACTGAAATACCCACATAAACCAATATGTTTGTATGATACAGATAACCATCTCATTCAGATAAAACTAGGAAAATGTGAACCAAGCTTCACAATTGATTCTTGAGTTAGGGTCTTCCATTTTGAAATAAGTTTGCTTCACTTGATTGTAAACAGGTAGGTTCCAAAGCAAGCCAAATAGAAACCCAGTTGCATGAATAATTCAAGGCGAAATTATAATCGAAACCCCTTTAACTTCAACCCTATTAGAGATTTTACCTCTGAACTAAACAATCCCTTATTTTTGCTGTCTAAACATTGCATTTTTTTAATGTGGCCCATCCAGTTCTGCTATAAAATAATTTTTTACATATATGTGTACATTGATTTTTTTTGTATAATTTTGTAGAAAAGAATTAAGAGAAGCCTCCTACTCTAACTCACTCTTCATCTTCCTCTATGTATTGTGAATAACCTCCAAATCAAACAAATAAGTTTACTTCATAATTCTCCACATCAAGCATCTTCACCATGTTATTTACTTTTCTTTATCACAAGCCCTTGTCATTACCACAACCTCAATCTCAGCACCAACCATCTGTACCCCAAATACCTTCCTCTTGCTTTTCTGTAAATTGCAGCATGAATAGGCTGATTCTGTTATTGAAGATCAGGTGGGTATCATTATTTGATGGGATAAAGAAATCATTGCAGCTTTTTGATATTGTTGATCTTGTTTGACTTGTATGACTTGTTTCTATAACTGTTGTAACATGTGAAATTTTTGTTGTTTCTACTGATGTACTTAAGGTGGTTTTTTGTAGAAATTATAGGTTCGGGAAAGAAACAGAGGTCTGAGTATCTTCATACATTTTCTGCTGGATATTGAAAATGCTGGAGAGAAATTAGGATTTCCCTAAAAAGTTTCTTAGTCTTATTTTCGTAAAAATATATTTATCTTTAAAATGTAGTATTGTGTCTTGCTAACCAAAACCTAGTTTCCCTAATGTCAAGGATGACACTCCAATATTAAATTAGTTTGACAAAAATCAGGGAATTTTCAGTTCATGAAGCAATCTCAAATAGAGTTGAAGTTCAAGGGGTTAAACTAGGTACACTTTGGCCTCACTTCAACTGTAATGATATAGTAACTGCATTGACTTCCTGTCTTGATCTGATCAAGTTTTCAGCATGGATGTTTCTTGCAACATAGTCTTATTCAACTCATGTAATGATTGCCAGCACCTGCGTTCTAATATCCTGCCTGTTACCTGCGTTCTAATACCCTGCCTGTGGTAACAGGCACTCGGATGCTGCATTTGTTTTGGGCTGAGGTATTTACTCACCGGTTGGTATAAATGAGGAACATGATCGAAGATGCGATCTTCTGGTTGTATTCATTAACATACCAAAGGTCTTTCTTACTGAATGGTTTTGTTGGATGATTTGGCATCACGCTCTAAAGGGAAATACCGGTCATCTGGGTAACGTGTTCCAATGGAGGACAAGCACTTCAAGATGATGCCAGGATTTGTATAGAAAGAAGCGTGATGTTTCACTGAGATTTGACTTTTAATGCAATTTTGGGATCTTTACAGCGAAGAGACTTGATAAAGATCGATAGTGTTGGCGCCCATTAGCTCTTGTGTCATCACTGAATTGTTTCGGAAGATTGATATACCTCTAGTTACACCAAAACCATGTGTTTTCTCTGTTTCTTTCCTCGGTATACCCAAGCTTTGAGAAAAAATGGCTTTCATGTGTCAAAGCTCCGGCGAAACTGGCGTGCTAGTCCTCTTCCTCTCCAGTGAGATGAGAGGAATAGCCACCATCCATAAGCAATAACAGAAACTCATCAATATCATTCTTGCCCCACGACATAGGATCTCATTTTCTTTCTTATTTTTCAGGGGTGAGAAATTATGAACATAAACGAGCAAAGAGAACGAGAACAGAGTCTACGAGTATTAGTGATATTTCATTTCAATGAAGGTTTAATAATAAAATGTTTGCTGCAAAATTTTGACTAGTACGAAAATTCTACAAAAGAAGCGACCAAAATACAAGAACCGACAGTAAATAAACTTCCTAACCTTAACCCAAAATGGACATGTAAATCACATTTACTGGGTTCAAAAGTTGTGAAAAAGGGGGAGCAGAAACCCCATTTCAGTCACATTTACGGCGAGGACAAGCTTAAGAGAACTGCAACATGGTATGGATTCCTCACAAAATCATCAACATATTAAGAATAGCATCATACTATAAACGGAGACTTCAGTAGAACTCTGACAGGAGAAATTCCACTACAATAAGCATTTCTCTCCCAAAGAAAGGAAAAAAAAAGTTTCATGAGGTTGGGTATTCTGCTCAAAGCAAAGTTAGAAATGCTCAATTCATAATATAAGATTAGGCCAACAGTTTATCTTGTTTGCTACAGAGTCCAAAGCCAACTCATTCAACCTCCATAGCATCCTTTTCATTGCTTCTGCTGGACCACAGCTTGATGGTTCGATCATGTGAGACAGTTGCAATTAGACGTCCATCTGCCACCAAGCAACAATGCTCATCCAATCAAAATGAAGCAAAGGGTGATTCATAAATTAGCAGAACAAAATGAGTTCTCCAGAGGAGCAATTAAATTAAAACTCATTTCAAAGACAAATCAAAAAATGACCAGAAAAAACAAGCCCTTAACCTTTGGCGTGCACAGACAAATGACACCTTATTTTATTTGAGTAAATGGCAGATCATTAATGAAAAGGAACATAGTTAATCCATGAAGCCATGACACAACAATTCATATAAGCAAAGTTTTTATGAAGATAACACTGAATCAATTAACTTAGTATATGAACTGGATTAGTTTATTTTGAATTTTTTGGCTTTAACTGTGAATTACAAAAAATAGAAGGCCATTGTACAGAAAATATATCGGGATCAGATCCCACAACTGAATAAATAAAACACAACCATTAACAACTTTCAAGGTGTTCCAAACAAAACACCATAAGCATTCTCAGTCAATATGTATAATACCAGCTGCCTCATTTCATTTCTTTGTGAACCAAATAAAAGCAACTAGAATTCCAGTTTTTAGTTCCACAGAAGTTGTAAATGGAATTGACAGAACCCAAAGATTATTTAGGAAAAGAGAAACTGTCGAGAGAAAGGGGGGAAACAAAATTTGGCACAGTAAAAAAAAAAGTGGCAGATGATTTGAGGATGGACCAATGGTAACGGTTCATGGTGCAATGGTGGTAATATATTGACAATTAGCACATCAATTGTGGTTATTAAAATAAAGGTGAAGCAAACAAAAGATAAATAGTTCATGAGAAGTGGTTAAATGATCACAAATTTGGGCATATATGACTTATTTAAGTGGGGAAAATTACCTGCACTAATATCCAGAGATGTAACTTTGGCTTCGTGAGCTGATAATGTCTTGACATGCTTAAAATCTCGGCCAGACCAAACCTGTTAAACAGAAATTCAATGCCTTCAGAATAAAATAAACAGAAATTCAATGCCTTCAGCTGTACAAAACAATCAAAATGATTAGAAATAAACCAAACCTTAGCAGTCATGTCATATGATGATGTAACCAGATAATAGCCTTCTTGGGGCTCAAACTTTACTTGTGATACAAGATTTGAGTGTGCTGGTATGACATACAATGATTTTTTCTTCCTTAAATCCCATATCCGGCAAGTATTATCCTCTCCGCCAGTCGCTAAATGATAGCCATTAGGAGAAAAGCTGATCCCAAGAAGCTGAAAATGGTATGAAAGATAAATATGGTCTATTTAACAACTATACTTTACAAATAAACAAAAACAAGATTCCCATGAGAAAAAGGAGAAAGATTCAGAAAGAGTCTCTCACCGGCTTGACATGGCCTTCCAATGCCATTATACTTCTCCCAGTACGTAGGTCCCAAACACGTGCTAGTGCATCCAATCCACAGGATGCTGCTAATGATCCATCATGATGGAAAGCTATTCCATAAATGCTCCGACTGTGACCTTCTTGAAGGAGCAGCTCCACACCAGAATCTATATCCCACAGTCTCCACGTCTTATCAAAGCTCGTGGTGCCCAAGTACTTCCCTGATGGATGGAAAGCAACGCGAGCAAGACGGTCTAGATGACCTTCAAACTTCATCAGGAGAGAACCATCAGTGTTCCACAACCTTGCAGTTCGATCAGCGGAGGCAGTTGCCAAATGATTGTGCACAGGAGAGAAGGCGACATCAGTTGCACGTTCCATGTGTCCCTTTAAGTTAGAAACCTTTGTAACTTGAGGCACGCTCCATATTTTAGCAACTCCACTTAAGGAACTGCATAAGCAGAATAAAGCAAGGAATCAGATTATGGAATGATCATGGTAATTAAGAACAAGAAAGGGATAGTTTACTTAACACAATACTCGCAAATGACTTTATTATGTGATTGGTACTGTCTATGAAAGAAAGATTGACCGTGCTGTCAGATGTGATCTGTCATGTTGTGAAAGAAGGGGGGAAATAACTGTTTACAAGCAAGCAAGAAAGAGAGTGGCAGCTAACAGAAATGGATTAAATCATAGAGAGAGAGAGAGAGAGACCAGGTAGCGAGCATTTCTCCGTCACAAGAGAAGGAACAGCCAGAGAGTGGCCGGTCATCTCCAAGCTCGCTGCAATTAAGACCCAAACTCTCCGCCTGATTCAGAGTCCAATCAATCTCTGCATCTTCATCTTCATCTGGGTCATCTCTTTTTCTCCTTGCACGTTGAAGACGCAAAGCTGCCTTCGAAATGGAGTATTTAGCAATATCAATTCTAGCATCCAAGAGGTCTTTCGACCCTTCAGTGTAGAATGGATACTGAACAAATTCTTCCTCGGCATCTTCTGCTGCTGCACTTGATGCAGCCTCCTCTTCCTCATGAACTTTCATCAACTTCTCCAGTTGTCCTTCAGAATCCAACTTAGCCATAAGCATCCTCAACCTGTCCCGTCTCTCCATCTCTCGTTCTCCGAAAAGAGTTATAGGCTCACCAAGCCGGCGAAGACGAGTCCTAACTGCCATATCATTAGTAGGCACTGCCAAAGCAGCAGCACGCTTCTTCATCATAAACTCCTGCATTGCCTTTTGCTGCCGTTCTCTCACTAGTCTGCTGGCTTCCGAAATTTCATAACCCCCAGTTGACCCGGGGGTAGTCCCAGTGGGACTTAATTCCTCTTGGTCAGAATCTGAGTCACTAGTTCTCATCTCGCCGTTTTGCACTCCAGGTGGCCTAGTTGCAGGCGGTCGGATGGGGAGTGGTGCTAATGGGCGGGGAGGAACTATAGGTATTGGAGCAATAGAAGGCAAAACTGGTATTGAAGATGGGATTACAGGCGGAATGATTGGTGGAGTTGGTTGAATATGACTAGATTTATCAATCATTAGTTCATCATCAGGGACTACAGCAGAAGATTCTTCTGGTAAATTTGACAAAGCGGGATTTTCCTCTTCAGCTGCCATGACAACCTAAACAAGCAAAACCTTAACAATTAATAAATCTTATAAGAGAGTACTTAAAACCCATTAAAAAGTTTCGATCTAATAACTGAAATGAGGGTTCAAGTAAACAAACCAATGCACAGATATCCCAGAACAAACATATACCACCTAGATAATTTTATCATAAATTTAAAAGAAAAGGAAGTAAATCAAGCTGTTAATATGGATGTCAATGGTCTAACCTTGTTAGAAATTGCATTAAATAAAAGTGGGGGTAAAAACAGCTGAACAATAAACGTACTATTTCTTTTCTTTCTCGTTGGGGCATTTTAGCAAACAGGGGGCGTGCGTTCGTAAATGTTAACCCATATAACCCAGCAGCCAACTCTTAAAATATGTAGTTCTTTTTTACTCAGGACCAAACAGAAACCCAAGTATTCATTGCAAAAAGAAACGAGTAGCTAAATAACTAAGCAGAGAACCCCGCAATGAAAAGCAAACATTAAAGAAAGCATTAACTTTAAGACTCTGTTTCTGATTCTGGTGCTCAAAACTTAAGTTCTTCAATGTTAAAAGAGAAAAAAGAGAATTGTAAAAGGAATTCACAAATTATAAATCGGTGTACCTGTGTGTGTATTGCTGGAAAATCGTCTTTCTAGGACAAGAAGCAGACCTGGAGAGCTTTGTCGAACCCTTTTAAGTTTTAACTAAAACACTGTTATGGCGGGCTTCCAAAATTTCCCTTTTGGGCTTTAATAGTCAGCATAAATATGGGCCACAGCACCTAAATTTCTTTAACGTCAGACTTGACGGTAATTGTGTTTGTTTTTTTGTAAAAATTATTTTTTAAAATGTTTTTTATTTTTTAAAATTTATTTTTAACATTAATATATTAAAATAATTAAAGTACACCAAAAATAATTAATATATTTGTAAGATGATTGAGAATACTTGTTTAATATATCTTTAAAACTATTATAAATAACGTGAGGAAAAAAATGATTTTAATTCAGAAGAATTGGCTCGAGGATACAGAGCCCGTTAAAACCCAGAAAAAGAAGAGAGATATATTAGTTTTTTTATTATTATGCTGGAGATTATGGTGTCAATGAGAGGTGTTTAGTTCAGTATACTCTTCTGAAAAGAGTGCAGTGTCAGGATTGAATCCACTGGCTAAAACCTTACGCAACCTGCTGGTGTTTCCTAGGCAAGAAAAGCAGTACTGCGTTGCTTGAGGCAGCAGAAACAAATAGCAGTTGTGTTAAGGTATACGGCCTTGCTTTCACAATAATTGGCGCCCATGTTAAATCTTTATAATAATTCCTAGAAGCCATGTCAGGCGCGGCAAAGAAGAAACACTACTTTCAAATACAAGAATCATCATCAGGATAGCAGGACTACCTCCGTCTCAATAGAATCATCATCATGATTCTGCCCCTTGAATTGGGATTAGAATCCTCATTACATGCATAAAAATACCTCTACTTGATATCATAACAAGAAAGAGTCTCACAGCATATTATGCCTCATGCTTCTTGAAGCAAACTACAAAACTGCAGCTTAAAATCCAACATGACAGTGCATTTGTCAGGTTGGTATCATCCTATTCTATTTAGTTATTTACTACTACTGGTATATGCTTCGACACACAACAAATAAAACAATAGGGGCACAAACCACCTAAGTTGTTGCACTATATACTTCAATCAAATCCCCTGCTTTCAGGCCGGTAATCCGCAAGGATTCTTGGAGTTCCACTGCCTTGAACACGGTCTCTTCCAGAAGCAGCTGTCAATAAACAAAATTTACCCTCCTCCTCCCTCTTCCATGCCTCCACAATCCCCGATCCATTTGATATTCATCACCATGAAACTTGGAAGTTTTATAACTTGACATTTGCCAACCAGTACCTTCCCTACTTTGGTTGTACCCATCCAATGTTCCCCAGTCACCACCAGTTCCATCATTAACATTCTTCCCGTCATTGCTAACATCCCACTCATTGTTGCCCCAACCGAACGAATCATTCCAACAATCCCATCCATCATCGTTCATGGCTTCATTAGGATGAGTAACATTCCTTCCCTGGGGATTTTCATCACTAGTGACCTTATGGTTGAAATCCCAATGTCCAGGATCCAGTGCCGAATCAGGAACCTTTTGAAATTCCTCTTCAGCTCCTCCCCATCCAGCACACGAAAATGACTGATTCAGGAGGAGAGAACTGCCAATAATGACAACCTCCTCTCCTTTGGTAATCTCATCATGATCTTTCGGTTCCCGCTCCAAGTCTAAAAGCAATTCAGGGTCAACACTGGAGTTCCAATCAATTTCATCAATATAAATATCAGGATCAGGTAACGATATATTGCAAGGTAGGCCATTAATCTCAGCCCAAAATCGGTTTTTAGCATTGTGGAATGCCTCTTCACCAGCAGAGTCATTCCACTTGACTATATTCTCATATAAATACATAAGTTTTTTGGTTTCCAGGAGCTTTCTCCATGGAATTGAACCAGCTGAATAGCAGAATCTCTTTTCCCATGAAGGTACAGTTGGCTGCCAACTAACTGAAAACAAAAGGCAAAAATATAAGATAAACTATTCAATGTTTCAAGGACAATGAGGAAAACAAGTTTCGAAAAGAGGAACAACAACAGAGTGAATAGAAAGCATGTACAATGTAAGAATCATTACAGAGAACAGGTAATGCCAAGGATATTTACAGAAAAAAGCACTAGAAAAGGACAGCAAGGATATCTAGACAACAAAAAAAAATAATAGACAAATACGACCCAAATCTTGTATAAATCTAAATAGAAACACTTCAGACGTTCATTCTTTTTCTGCCATAATTTCTATTTTGTGCTTTTTGTATGTAATCTGCATACATTTTTCAGAAAGAATCCCCAAATATATTTTAACACTTTCAAATTGATCAGTTTCTTGTCTGTACATGTCTGGTAGGAAACTTCAGAACTTGAACGAATTCTCAGAAATAGTTCATAAAGACAACTGCTGTGTATCTAAATCGACATCCACTGCTAAAAACAGACCAGACCAACAGAAATTTAACAAAAAAATAATTGCATATTTTATAAAGTGAAACACTTAAACACTACAAACAGAAACTGCACACATCACCAAGCACCTTGCCCTAACAAGAAGCGCCGACATCTAGAAAACAATAAACAGTTCTAAACAAATTAAAGTGAATGAAACAATGATGCAAAACCACGAAGGGGAAAAAAGAACCAACTCCAACATGTCACGACCCCAACAGAAAGATACCTTTTTTTTGCCGAAAAAACAACAAAAATAACCCTTCAGGAAGAGCCATAACACCAAAACAGAGGCTGCCACGACAAAATCCAACAAGAAACTACCCTCTTGAAAGAAATAAGGTAACGTTCAAAGGAAATCACAAAGTGACTCCTGGTACAAGGCCTTAAAAAAAATCAAAGGAAGAGAACTCCACATACCATGCTGAGGAGGTTTTCTAGAACGTGATCTTGTCGTTCTTTGAACTTGTTGATGTTGATAAATCTCACCCCTGTGTCTCCTCCTATTATTCATACTCAAAATAATCCAATAAACACAAAAGGGTCCTCCAGAAACCAAAAAAAGACACTGCTTCTTGTTTCAAGCAAGGAGAACACAGAGAAAGATCAAAACTTTTTAAATGAGAACAAAAGGTGGGTATTGTTAATTTTTTATTAGACGATTGATCAAGGAATAAATTTTGGTGGCTGAAGAAGTACAAAAGAATTTGAGAGAGCGATGGTAGTGGTGATCACACCTCACGAGAAGAGAAATTTTGTTTATAAAATAGTTAGGAAAGAAAGCCCCAGGTATTTGATTTTGTCTTGAGTATTTATAGCCCCTGCTCTTTGTTTAAATTACGAGTCTATCAAATTCTTGCTCTGCAAGGACTCGGTCGCTGTAACGTGTGGGTTTCGCGATGCCGTAACTTTATATTTTATATTATTTTATTGTAATAATATTAAATAAATAAAAATAATACTATTTAAATACATTTTTAAATAAAAATATTAAAAAATAAATTTTTATCATTTCACGAAGATCCTTGACTCGCCGTCGTTCAGTCGAATATTTATTTAAAAATTGATCTAAATTATATTTTTAAAAATTTAAATTATTTCATTAAAAATAATTTTTTTTGTATGTTTTAAATTATTGCGATACACTAATTTTCAAAAAATAAAAAAAAATATTTTATTGTATTTCAATAAAAAAAACTTTAAAAAATAATTTTAACTATACTTTTAAATAACTTAATTAAAAAAAATTCCAGCATTTATGCTTAAAATTTTTAAAAAAATATTAAGTTTTTGGACGTTGTTGAAAGGAAAACATGGAAAGTTCCTCAACATCTTAATTGATTGTTTCCATTCAAGGTTCAATGAAAAATAATTATATCTTATATTTTTCTCAATAATATAAAAGTGGGTATGGATGATTTGTACGACATGACAATAAAAACAAAAAATTTGAATGAATGAAAGCTTTAAAATATTTCTAGACCAATTTATTTGTTAATCAATATTAAGTAATTCTTTCGAATGATTTTAAAAACACATTATCTATATTGAACTAGTATATTTATAAAACAATAATTTTTTTCAAGGAAAAGATGGCCCCTAAATATAAATCCATGAAGATATATAATAGATTTTACTCGTTTAATAATATTTTCTTTGTTTTATTATTTCCTGGCTGAATTAATCCAAAATCATTTAAGTGTTTGAAGTTGTTATTTAAAAAATATATTTATTTTAAAAAATATCAAATTGAATATTTCTTAATATTTCTCTGGTTTTAATGAGTTGTTGTTAAAAATTAAAAAAAATTAATATATTTCAAAATAAAAAAATATTTTAATACACTTATTTTGGTACCACTTGCAATTATTCATAAAGAACAAATTGATGAACAGTCTCGAGTACAATTTTTTTTTCCAAGTCAGTCTGATAATTAATCGAAACTATTTTTAAATATAATTATAAAAACACATCCTCTATTGATTTGACGTATCCCAGTAAAATTTAATGTTTTAGATATGCACATGAAAAGAAAAAAAAAGATTAGAGTGTAGCTTCTTTTTGAATTTAAAAATATTTTATTATTAAAATTTTATATAGATTCTGCGTAGAAAATCTTGATTATAAAAAAATTATAGTTTATAAATTTATTTTTTCAGAAAAACTATAAAAATGCTGGTGACGACGGAAACCTTGCTTCTCGTGGGTAGATGAAGCTCGTGATTCATGGCACGCAAAACATTGCCGCGAGAAAAGAGAACTGTCAGGCTATCCGCTCGGTGTGTGCGTGTGGTATTGACCTGCCTGCGAACGTCTCCAAAATTTTATCTGCCCTTTTCAATTTTATCTGCAGAAATGGAGGCTGGTTGTCAATATTGAGTGATAAAAATATTGAGAAATTGTCTCTGGTTAGAAAAATACCGTGATTCGGTATTGGTTTTGTAAGATTGTTATTGAAAATTGCGATTATTTACTGAAAATTAAAAGTTAAATTAATTAGTATTTGCAGAAATCAATATATAATTATATAAAAAATCGATG